ACGGCACCTGAATCTGATTTCGTATGAATCTCGATTGACACCGGCCAGGTAAAGAGAGCGAAAAAGTGTCCGAGCGTGTCAAGGCCAAGGCTGTGAAGGAATTAGGGTTTAGAGTTTAGGGTTTAAGGTTTAGGGTTTAGGGCAGGGTTGCCGAAGCTAAGCCGATGCTGTCCCTCGACCACCCGCATGAAGAGCAACCAACGCGAGTTGGGCGGCCCAAAATATCCGGTAGTGGGCTTCGCCTAGTCTAAGCAACATGCGACGATCAGGTAATTGAAGCCATTCGGCCCCTTAAATGGGGGTTTCCGAAATAGGGGACCCTAATATAGTACCCTAAATAGTAGGATCCTTTTTATAAGGACCCCCAAAAAGGTAGCCCTTATTTTCGGAAACTCCTAAATCTCAAACCAGGGCTATGAAAACGGCCTGGAATTCCGAACACCTCTGACACCCGGTCGACTTGTTTCGTACTTTGGGGATGAAGGGCTTTAGGATAGCATTTAACGTTTAAGGCGCCAAGGGCACGGTCTCGGTTTTAGGGAGCCACAGAAAACTCACAGGAACTCGCCAATTCCGGTGCACTGAACGCCATTCTGAATCTGCTCCTACTGCAGCGTGAATCCCCCCAATGCAAACACTAACATCCCAAACTCAGCAGCAGAGCAAACTCGAAACAACCTCACATTCTGAGAACTGTTCAACAAACAAGCCCGGGAAGACCTTGCAGAAACCTAAAAAACCTTCGAATCTTCATGGAACTCTTTGGAAAGGCGAATAGAAACGCGTGAAGCTCAAGCATTAACCTCCAGGCTCCACTTGCTAAGACCTCCAGTGGCTCGCATACCTCACAGTAACCCATAAATGCAAGCCTGGAATAAAAAAGTGAGCACAGAAGCCAAAAAGAAAGCCAGAAGAAGGATAGCGATATCTGCACTAAACCCTACACCCTACACCCTAAACCCTAAACCCGAAACCCGAAACCCGAAACCCAAAACCCAAAACCCTAAACCCTAAACCCACACGTTTGAGGCCCTTAGAGAGCCCCTCTGAAACTCTGAAAACCAACCATGGCCCGGGCAGAGCTCAACATGTACAGAGCACCTTAGTCCCTATGCCCTATGCCCCTCAGGGTCCGGGTTTCTGCACAGGCGCCGGCGCCGGCGCCGCCAAGCAACATCACTCTTGCAGAGAGCAGGCTCGAGCGGAGAGTTAGCGGCCGATGAAAAGAACCCTCAGTGCTGCATTTCACGTGAGCACAGTGCTGCCTGCACTGTTGACAGACAGGACATTGTGGGTGGCAGCCGACGACAGCATGTTCGCGTACCACAAGGCACCAACTGTCTCGACCAGAAACCGCCTCCGGGCTTTTTTGCTTTGGTTTGGGCGAGTTTTTGTTTGCAAACTGCGCCTGCGGATCTTTGATCAGAAGTCTGGACTCAGCGCAGAAGGAGATGGAAAGGCATGAAAAGGCGAAGCAGGCTCCGCGAGCTGCTTATCGCACTGTGAGTGAGGATGTGCTCGGTCTTCGTCAAACTCCAACGCTCTCAAAGTCCCTGGAGCGCATTCCCTCTTTCCTTGCTAAGCCCGAGAGGGCCGTTTTGCAAGTGCCGAATCCGGGTGCAGTGCATAAGACATGTTCATTGCGATCTGCGCGCAGGGGCTCTTCCCCCCGGACATAGCCCGGGGCCTAGGCCTGGAACTGGCTGAAGCCTTCGAGGCTTCTCAATGCCAAGTAGGCGTTTTGCACTTGTCAATGTAGAAGCAGGGGGCCCCCCTCCGAGCCTCCGAGGCAGATGTCCTTTGCTTCGCTGTGGCCGCGGCAGGCCTTACCACAGCCTGCCTTTCTGGGCTTCTGAAGGGGCTGCAGTCATCTGGCACTGTTTGTTCCTCCTGTGTGTGGGGTTCAAGTGTGGGAAGAACGGCAAGGTCCAACGCACGTCTCTGTGCGGCATGCTGGCATGCTCCTTCTCGCCTTCGCCATTCACTGCGCGTGCCACGCCAATTCTGTAGCTTCTTCGTTTCTGTCTGGTGACGAGCGGGCCAACGACACTAACGACACCTCTGTGACCGTGACCACGTCGTGGACCTCAACGACATCATCGGCCACCTCGACTGCGACATCGACCCTCTCCGCATCCACGACTTCAACGCTGACTGAGGTTGAGGAGCCAGTAGTTCCGGAGCCATCGTGGACTTTCGAGTCTTTATGGCTGGCCCCATCATTGTCCAGCTACAGTGGCGAGGACTTGATCAATGACCAGCAAACCATCATTGGACTAGTGCTGCTGGGCACAACCCCATGTGCAGCATGCTTTCTAGGATGTTGCAACATCTGCCTGAGACACATCTTCTGTGGGCATAGCCCACAGGACATGCAGAAGACTTTGTCGAAGCATGGTGTAGTGCAGGCCACAAAGATGGTGTTGACGTTGGCCACGCTCTGGGAGAGTGCTGCCTTGTTCATCCTCTTCTACAGCACCTTGAAGCATTCGCCAGCCATTGCAGTACTTGAGGCTTTCATCTACAGCCTATACCAAGGTGGGGTGGCGCTGCTGAACCACAAGCCCAAGGAGCAGTCGGAATCGGATCAGCGCAAACATCTGCAACCAGTCTCTGTGTACACTGACCTGCATGTGGGGAACTTCTTCGAGTGCGTCACTGTTTTTGTGCTCCAGGTGATGCTGTACATGTTCCTGCTGCTGACTGTTTACCACCAAGAGAAGCTTATTGAAGAGGAAATCACAGAGCAGCAGTTCTTCATGTACGTCTGTGGCTCAGTTGTTGGTTTGGTGTTGCGGCTGCGGGAGCAGTCCTTCTTGAAGGCTGAATGGGAACCCTTCTGGCATCCGTACTTCTACGAAGACTTCCGGCGCCCACACCATTTTGCAAAGGTGCGCTGCTTCATGTCATGGCTGGCAAACGAGGCTTTTGCCCGCACCATCTTCTTCTTGCTCCCGGTAATTCTGATGTACTCCCCCGACCTCTTGGAGTTCGTGAAGGACGCCACTTGCATCGTGTTCATCGCGCATCTGGATGATGTCCAGAGCACGGATGAAGACCAGTGGATCGTCAAGGGCGAGCTTGTGGTGCAGGAGAAGCTGGGAGAGCTAAAGAAGCTCATGGCTGAATTTGCGAATATGAAGGAAAGAGATGACCAAAAGAAGCTGATCGCCCAGCAGCAAGAGCAGATTCAGGAGCTTCAGCAGTGTGTAGCGCAGCAGCAAGCAAGCGTGAAGGAGCTGAAACACGCGGCAGAGAAAGGAGAAGCGCAGACGACGGAGCTTGGGTCGCGAGTGGAGAAGAGGCTGAGGCAGCTTGAAGACAGCAGCCAGGTGGAAGAGCTCAAGCGACTCTTGCAGGCAAAGATGAATGAAGTCGAGACGACGAAGATGGAGTTGAAGCAGTTTGTGGAGGACAAGTTGGCAGAGAAGGACCAGCTGCGGGAGTTGGTGGAGAAGAAGAAGAAAGAGATCGAGCACCTCGAGAAGAAGCTCATGGACTAGCAAGGTTCTTCCTGAACTATCGTGAATACAGATATATCTGTAAATCTTTCCAGGATCGCTGGACTCTGCAAGTGACGGGGCCAGCAAGCCGACCCTGATCCCCGACCACGCGAAGTGTGCCTCGAGGGACTTTATACTTGATGTTCTCAGGTGTTCACACATGATCTGCCTGGTGATGTACAGTCTTCAAGTCAGTGAGAGGTTCCTCGGATATGCCGTTTTATCCCTCCCAGGGTCTTCTCGCTGTTCCTCAACGCAAAGCAGCAAAATGCTCGTCTCGGACGATGCGCCGCCTGGGGTGCCGTAGCACCTGACTCGACTCCCCAGACGCGTCTGCAGGAGTGGGAAAAAGCTAAGCTTACATTTGCTCGGGGCGTGTGTTCCGCGAATGCTGCTAATGTCTTAAGCCGTCTGGCTGCTGTCTCTATGTGAGCCATACTGTAGCACCTCTCCTGTACGAGTTGCTGTCTTTACGGAGCGTCTGGGCGAGGCCTTCGTCACAGCACTTCGAGTCCAGCCATGTCCATGCTCGGAGCGCAGGACTCGTGGTGGCTGCAAGCGGCGGCGTTGGCGGGGGCGGAATACTCGCCCACTCCCCGCAATTGAGTTTTGCCTAGGTCTTTGTCTTTCTATCCGCAGCATATCGAAGGTACCGTTGTACATGCTCTTCTTGCGTTTCCGCACGGCACTCAGCCAAACGAGGACATGGTGTGTCCGGGTGCCACCAGAGCCAACATGACTGGATGACTGAGGGCCTTTCGGTGTTGTGCTTCAATGCTCGCTCTTGCGATCACGCATTCCTGTGGCTTCGCAAGGGCCAAAGCATGCCGTGGCCCTGTCCAACTTCACGATTCTCGGAGGACGCGTCCTGCTGAAACGGAGAGAAGTGATGTGTTGTTTCTGCAACGTTGAGTTCGTGCCTTCCCAACTAGTTGTGGGCCCAGTGACATGCAGGGGCCTTCGCCAACACGGCGTTGAATGCCCCGAAGACAGATGAGACGCTTGACATACTATTAGTGTTGGTTTGATGATGGCGGTGACCATCCTGCTAGGCTGCTAGGCTTCCTGTTTCTCTCGCAGTATTGGCTTTTCAGTCATGGCTTGGGGGCTGCTTCAGGTCAGCTGTAACTGTAACGTTGTGAAGCAGTACGAACAGCAGGATTGACAATAAGCATCACCTGTATTCTGCAAGTATCAGGCGCAATCGATGCAGCAGGTAAAAGGGCGACAATGACATCAAGGCATCAGCGCAATCGCAACAACAGGGGATGACCTTTGGCTTCACGGTACTGCGCAGTTTTCCCCGGAGCCCGGCTGAGCCGAGGAATGGTAGAGCTTTGATCAATTGGGACATCATCGTGATGATGGAGCCTCCGGGGTGGCTTTGGAAATTTCAGGTTTAGGGTTTGCAGATCAGAGAGCTCAGGCTGGGACTGTCTACACCAGCTCGAAATCCTTGACTCAAATCCTGAACCGGAGCGCATCCTAAAGCCTCCCTCTTCGAGTTATGGATCAACGTCGCCAGGAGCCCGCCACCCTGGCCGGGACGGTCCTTGGCTCTTTCGCTTCAAAGTTCGCAACTCAGATTTCAGATTCATGGCTTGGCTTCCGGAGAAGTGATATCTGATCTAGCTTGAGACATGCACGAGCCCTTTGGAAAACTACACTGCAGAGAAGCTTGATGATGCAGGCCATCCAACGTAAGCTGGCGTGATGCAGAACCTTGCCAAAACGGCTTCGGTTTACTACAGCAGCCGTTCGGTGAAGTAGGTGGAACGCAGAGGGTATATGAGATAGAAGACAGTGCCGGGCACATGACAGCAGAGGAGCACTACCGCTTGCGTAGTATGCCGGACTGCCCCACGCCAGCGGTTGCGGTTGCGGGTGAGTTGGGAAAGAAGCTCGCTGCGGCCTGCGGCTTTCATTTCCCTCGGCTGCAAGGTACCTCGCGGATTTTGTGCTGATGGCAGCGAGCTCAAAGTCGGGCAAAGCTGAACGGAACGGAATGCAGCAGGGCAGGAAGCTGGACCAGAACCCTCCTCAGGAGGCCTAGGACCTGGAAACCTAATTCCCACAAAGGTACATAGTCGAGTGAGTATCCCACTGGAAATGGCAACCTGCACAATCCTTGGACGTTTCCCCGTCATCTCGGCAGTTCAGGGATTTCTGGCCATCGTGCTGGCGCTTTTGTCTTTCCGCACGCTGGGCAAGGCAGCAAGAGCCCAATCCACCCGGCCCCCCCAATTTGCCCACTTAAGCTCAGGACTATGGCTGTGGCTTACGCTTCAGGGGGAAGCATGGCTGTCCTGTAGTTTGCGCAAGTACACGAGACGGACAAAAACTCACGTGCATCGTTCCTCTGTCCATGTGCACACCTGCCCAGACGGCATCGCATCAGCGCACGATCAGGTGTTGCACAGTCTACCGCAGGAATGTGCTTGCAAGCCAGCAGAAATAGATAGTCGTGAGAAGCCTGGTCGAACCTGGTCTCATGTAACTTAATCTGGTATAAGCTCACTCGAGGCTGAAAAACAGGGCTGAGTGAGTGGTAAGTAAAGGCATTATTAGACTCAATGATCGGAAGTCCTGAATTCTGATCCCACGCTCACCTTTGCAGGCTCCGGGTGTGCCCCTGCTTGATAGCGAGTATTGTGCAGTGAGGCTTTTATTTGGTCCGAGACGGGCCTTTGAGAACCTGACTGAATCGTGGTGTTTGGTTGCAGAACCTCAGCGGTCGTCGTTGCTTCGACGCCGCCACCCAGCCACCCAGCAAGCAACACGAAGAGCCGTCCTTCGCACAAAGGGAGCTGTTGCCTCGGAGAAGGCGCTCTCGGCCGCCGGAGATCCCACGGTAAAGCCTCGAAGCAAAGCCTCGAAGCTCGGCGGCCTCTCGCGCAGGGGCTGGAGATGTTCCAGCACGAGACCGCGAAGGAGCGGGAGCAGAGCGGAGCAGACTGGAGCGGAGCGTGGGGGGGAGAGAAAACCCGGAGCCGAGGACGCGGAACTCCAGGCGGTGCCGCAAAGCGAGGACCTGGCCTCCGAGGCCGGTCATCAGAGCGAGAGCGGCTGCGGGGTTCGGCTGGAGATGGCTTTCGACTCCGCCAGGAGGCCTTGAGCGACGGCGAGGAGGAGCCCAAAGAGTGAGCCGCTCAGTGATGCGCAGCTGTCGCGCTCTCTGCGTCTTCGGACATGGGTCTCAGGTCCCGGAACCTCGTGGGCGACACGCGCCTGCGGACGGTGGGAGCAGGGACGCCCTGGCTGAAGGCTTGGACCCTGTGCCCATAACACGGCCCCGGGGCACGAATGCGAGCTGCGGAGCAGGTCGGCCTGCTCGTCTGCTGCTTTCTGGGCTGCGTGGCTGGCTGCTCAGCAGAGAGATCCCATGCAACGGCGACTCCTCGAAAGCTTTCCCCACTGACAGAAGAGAGCTGACAGCCGGCATCAGCCGGCCCCCTCGCCCAAGGTCTTGACCGTTCTCAAAGGCGGTGGAGCTGGATCCGTTGTAGGCACGGCACCCCTTAAGGAACTCTGAGCTACACCGCATTGAAACCCTATGAAACCCAAACAACTCAAAAAAGCTCCATGAAAACCTCCAAACCCCCACCAAAGAAGAGAGAGAGCCAGCGGCCCCGTAGTTCGGCGAGGCGTGGCCTGTGGCTCGGGGAGCTTTTGGCTCCTGAGCTGGGCGCAGCTTCCCTGGGTGCTGGGCTTCGGCCCGGGGGCCGAGAAATTTTTCTTCTCGCTTGCGCCTGCGAGGCCTCAAGGTCTCGAGCCCGAATCGGTAGCTCCGGGTCTTTGGGTTTAGAGAGAGCGGCCTGGGCCCCCTAGGCTTTGCTTCACCCCCAAAGCCGAATCATAATGCGGAACCCCCCCCTAAACACACCTGGAACCCTCCTACCCTCTGAGACCAGGCCTTATCTTCAGAGATATGCTCATCAGCGAGAACCTGGACAAAGAGGAGGCGGTTCTGGAGCAGGGCCCTAGCTGAGGCTTTGAGCAAATTTGTAGCAAATGGTTTTTCAGCGTTGCTTGGAAGAGTTTAGGAGTCACAGGCTTTCGGGCTTGGGGCGCGTTTAGCTGCCCGTGCAAGGGGGGCATCCCGTCCTTTCAGGTCTCTAGGCTCGACGAGGCTCCAGAATGCTTCTCAAACCTTTCTGCCGAAACACCCTAATTCTGCGGTACAGGGCCCGTACAAAAGCCAAAACAACAAACATCTCCTAAGCCCTAGGCTCGAAACCCAAAACGCCTGAAGCAATGGGTTGAGCTCGTTCGTCCAGGATGGCCATGAATTCGCCGCCTCGGAGATACGATGGACGTCGGCCACGACCATCCGGCAACCGAACCCGAGAGGGAAGGGGGTGTTCGGGTGGTAGTGTTTCTTTTATAGGATTTGATACGGTTAAAGCTTCTCGGGAGGCCTGAAACCCAACATCACAAGCTAGTTCGGGAGCACGCTGACTTGGAGCAAGTCATGTAACGCCAAAACTACCCTCGTACAGCGAGCCTTTTGGTTGTCAACCGTCGAGTAGCCCTTAAGCCCCTAAACCCCTGCACCCCTATGCCTAAACCCCTAACCCTAAACCCTAAACCTTAAACTTGTAAGCACCTTTCAGGTACCCCCTGCTCTGCAGTGTGGCCGGGATCCTGGCCGGACTCTTCGGCGTGGGAGGCTGAGGGCTTTTGGGAGAAGTTCGGAGCTTTGCACAGAGGTGCCATTCTGAGCGTTCAGCGTCGTCGCATGATCGATGGTGTGTTTCGTAGCGCCGCGTCGTTGTTTTCGGCTGCCGGGCATGACCAGTGACAAGAAGAGCCTCTGCAGCCAAGTTGAGCCCTGCGCCAGGTGGCATCATCAAGGGGTGGCTGCCTCGGACGTCTTCCAACAAGAGAGAGACAGACAGAGAGGGGTTGTGGTACCGCATCGGTGCGGGTAGTTCTCGCGCCCTTCCGAAAGCCCCTGTAAATTGGGAAGGCCCTACTGGCCGAGGGGCTTCAGACGCCCCTTAAAACCCTAAACGATACCCTACATAGGCCATCATCGGTAGCAGGATATCCCCATGCTTTAATGTCGACACTCCATGGAACATACTTGAAGGATCGGATATCAAACCCCGATCGTTCTTAAACTCATGCCCTGTGGAAGAAGGGGTCGTGGTACTGTAATAAAGAAGGATGAAACCTATGTAATTAACCATGGAGATAGCGACCCCAGTTACTCAAGCAATCTTCGAGCAGAGGGTCTTCGTCTGAGGCCCTTGATGCTGGAGCTTGGGGTGGCTCCTCAGGTGGCATCGGCCACTGCAGCTACGATGACCCTTGCCTGCCTGAGTCCGTGCAGTTGAACAGGGTTCTTGCTTCCCGCTCTCAGGATTCTTTTCACCTCCATGGCGACTGCGGTGTCGTTCGAGGCGGCGGTCATGTGCGGTCGAAGAGTCGCAGTGAAAGTTCCAAACCTTGTACCAATGACACACATACCCTGAAGCGCTCATTATGGATTTGATTGGCTTCCTACGATGACGACGTTCATTTTCCGGGGGCTTCTTCAGAGGCCGTGGAATCCAAGCAGCCCTACGACTTGGAAGCAATGCAAAATTTCTAGACCCTGAAACCCCAACACACGAAACCCTGGAAGCCTTAAATCCGTAACTAAGATTTTGGTCCTTAAATACGTAACTAAGATTTCACTGCTATTCATGCTGTTACTAGGATTGTTATTGCCCATGCACTTATATTGGAAGTTCTTTCGGATGTTGGTTGCAAGTCTTGTTCTTACTACACTGTATGTACTCTCTTCCTTTCTTATTCCGAGCGGGTGTGTTTGAAGCTAGACCCTAAACCCCCTAAACCGCCCCAAAAAACCCTCTGCCTTTGAAGTGGCTTGGGGTTTTTGAGGTCTTCGGCCTTCTGGAGCCCAGTTACGGCTCTTTGTGCTTCATGCTGGGCCCCTTGGCCGGGGAGGGAGCTTGAGAGGGGTTTAGGGTTTAGGGTTGAGAGGGGACAGGGGGGGAGGGCTTGGGTTGAGGACTTTTCAGGCCCCCTTTGGCTTCCCCTTTGGTTTTTTTTTTTTTTTAACCGCCTTTAGTTTTTGGGATCCTTCACGGCCGGGGTCTCTGCTTGAGGGATCTTCAGGGTTGGTATTTGAGTGGTTTTGCAGCTGTAGGTCGTCGAGGCCGCTGCCCCTTGAGTTGCTGACGGTCCGGACTGGACTGTACATCCCCAAACCCTGCAGGTGACTAAACCTTAAATCACCGCGCACTGCATCTCTCTCTCTCTCTCTCTTTTCCGGCTCTTGTGCAGGCTTCGGCTGCACCTTGCTTGGGCACTACATCGTCAACGCATACCTGCAGGTGCAGTACTCAGCTGTGAGAAGCAGGTCCTTGCGTTCTGAAAGGGTGATGACGATGATGATGGTGAGGATGGCTGGCGGCTGGCGATGACAGCAGGAAGTTTCATGACCGAGCATGTCTGTTCTGTGGCAAACTGCGGCTGAGGGCGCGAAGCGGCAATCACCGCCGGTACTGTCGATAGGCAGAGCCGGAGCATCTGTTGCGACCTTCAAGATGACCCAATAAATGAGCCCGGGACTTCTGTACCTACTATACAGGTTCCGCCTTGGCAAGTGTTTGGCTCCACGTTCTGCGGTGCTGCAACAGGGCAGAGACTGAGAAGATGAGGAGTCATCCGTTCTGGCAGGATGCGTGATGGCGGTCTCCACCGCGCCGCCCTCGGCACTCGAGTTCCGAAGGATTCGGAGAATGGAGAGCAGCTTAGCAGTGCCGTGCCATGCTCTGCAGAGCTTCCTGCTGCTACTGTTGAAGTGGCAGGCACTACTCATCGTGGAGATTGTCGGCAGATTCTGCAACCAGGAGTGTCTCGTGCACAGTGCACTCATTCGTTCATTCTGTCCTTTTTGCCCACGGTTCTTGGCTTCGACTTTCCTGCTCGAGTTTTCTCGAGGAGTTTGCGCAGCTCATCGAGCCGACTTCTCTCTGCAGCATCAACGACTGACACCCTCTCAGAGGCTTAGGAGCAGCAAAGGCTCAGCGGGTTTAGGAGAGCGTGGGTTTTCGAGTGACTTTAGCCGCTTTAGCCGCTTAGCCAGCCCTCGGGACCTGGAGAGACGTCGCGTGCTGCGAACACGGACGTGATCCGAAGCTTGGTGGCCCCAAAGAGGGCCGTCCCAAAAACCCGAGGCGAAAGCACACGTTGGCACAGTCTTCTGCAGTTCTGCTTGAGGTGGTCCTTTGTATTGCACGTCGTCCCTTCTCGCTGTCTCCCTCTCTCTTGCTGCTCGCTTGCGTTTTTCGCACAAGAGAATGTGGTTGTAGTCCGCCAGAGACCAGAGAGGACTGTATGTACTGTAGAGTCTGCTGCCATGCTTTCGCCGCGAGTGTTGGTCTGTCGCTGACCTCACCTAAGATCTGTGTTTTGGTGTGCCGCTTCTGAGAGCTCAAGTCAAGTTCTTGCGATGCCATGTGGGCCATGTCCATGCTTTAGTCACCAGCCGTCTCGTGCTGGCCATGGCCATGAAGAAGGAGGCCCGCAGCATCGGCAGCCCACAGCCCGCTGGATCCCGCAGGCTGGTTTTCCCCTTTCCCTTCCCGAGGCCTTCGCCCTCCTCGTTGACGACTCCCTACACGCCTTGCGGGCTCAGCTGTTGGGAGCGTTTCCCGACACCGGCAGTGCGCATGCCACCTTCGAAGAGGCCTCTCCACCCAAGGGCTTGAACGGCCTCCCGAAGCCGAGCGGCAAGCGACCGAGCGCCGGTGGCAATGCTGCAAACTTGCAAAGCCTGTTTATTTAGAAAGATTCGCAGAGGTTCCTTCTCTAAATGGAACCGTGCCCTCATGTCTTACTGGCAGTGAGGTCAATTCTCGACAGGCGTGGCCATAGAGATCAAGCCCAAGGAGCAGTTCGACGCACAGGTTCATGATTCCGGTGGCAGCGGTACTGCCAGCCAGCATCTGGAGCTGCTCGGCCGAAGGTTGGTGGTACCTTCCTCAGTCTGTGACAGAGCGACCAAGTTGAGGCATGCCAAGACGGTGGACAGCGAGTGGTCCCAGAATGGCATGGGGAGCCATGGCTCAGAGATTGGAAGACATGAAAGCCTAGTCTCAATGGCTTCGGCTTTGAACTTCGGCGAACTAAGGCTCGGGGTCTCCAGGAAGCAATCCCACCCGCTGAAGGATTCCCTGGAGAATCTCAGCCTCTTGGCGGTGGTGAAGGGATGGCGAGCAAGACCGCACGCACCGGTACCAGCAAGACCGCATGCAGGTGTACAAAAAGTGAGCTTCACGATATGAGTTATGATGTGCTATGTTATGTTGTGGCATGGTATGGCATGGTATGGTATGGTATGGTACTGTGTGGTGTGTTATGTATTTTGGGTTGCATCGCAGTGCAGGTGCAGTGCGGTGCGTTTTTGCGCAGTCGAGTGCAATGCAGCAATGTAGTGTAGTTTGGTGTAGTTACCGTATCTGCCCGTGGGCATGTACGCATGTGTGCATGTATGCCTTGAATGTCTGTCTGTCTGCCTGTCTGCCTGTCTGCCGGTCTGCTTGTGTGACTGTCCGCCTGTTTGTCTGTCTGCCTGTCTGCCTGTCTGCCTGTCTGCCTGTCTGCCCGTCTGCCTGTCTGCCTGCCTGCCTGCCTGCCTGCCTGCCTGCCTGTATGTCTGTCTGTCTGTCTGT